GGTAGTGTCTAATCCGAGGCCGGTGAGAAAGCCGGCACACTCGAGGGAAACATCTAGCGAGCGTCGGGATCAAGGAAAAATAATTCCGCTTGACTTTATTATTATTATTATTTTTAAAAGACGGGAATACGAAAAATAGCAGGATTTAGGGAGAAAATCTGCAAATGTTCCATTTGCATCTGGGTAGACCGAAATCACGACTCATCTGAGGACACAGATATGCCTCCAAGTGGCCTCAAGGACTCTCTAAAAAGGNCTTCCTTCCTTCCTTCCTTCCTTCCTTCCTTCCTTCCTTCCCAGTCGCTTTTAATGCAGTATTGCAGGCTAACTCTGCCCACTGCCAGATTTTTGATCCTAACTGGTTCAAAGTTGACTCAGCCTTCCATCCTTACAAGGTGGGAAAAATGAGGATACAGATTGTTGGGGGCAAGAGGGTGACTCTGTATACTGCTTAGAGAGGGCTGTAAAAGTACTATGAAGCAGTATATAAGTCTAAGAATGCTATTGCTATTGAACAGTTTCCACTCCGAACGCCATCACTCTGCTAAACAAATTCCCTCAACACTGTCAAACTATTCACTAAGACTGCATTACTATTACTATTAGTCTTCTCATCGTTCCTATCACCCATCTCCTCCCACTTATGACCACATGACTGTTTATTGCTTATATCCTTATGATTTATTTTGATATTGTTTCCTGATTGCTTATTTGTACCTAGCATTAAGTGTTGTACCTTATGATTCTTGACGAATGTATTTTGTCTTTTTATGTACATTGAGAGCATATGCACCCAAGACAAATTCCTTGTCTCCACACTTGGCCAATAAAGAATTCTATTCTATTCTATTCTATTCTATTCATTATTTTATACTCTACTGTACTCTCTTCTCTTCTTTTATTTTCTATTCTATTCTATTCATTCCTATTTTATTCTATTCTACTCTATTTACTCTACTCTATTCAGTTCAGTTCTGTTCTGTTTTGCTCTGTTTTGTTCTGTTCTACTCTACTCTATTGCTATCTAAGTGTTTGCTTAGAGTCAATGCCAACTTGATAGAACGTGATCCATCATTCCATGATTCAATCAGCCCGACAACTCCATGCGTGCTCTTCAGATCTGGTCCTAACCTTCTTGAAAACAAGCCCTTCTCTCCAAACACCACAAAGCATGAAGCTTATCAGCCTAGAAGCATTCCGTAACTCTACGAAGGGGATTCCAAACCTCCCTGCAATTGACAGAGCCTGTTTCAACTCCCCAGGTTTGTTGTTGAAGTGGCTTAAGGAGGCTCAGCGGGAGTCCTATCTTCCACCACTCTCCGCAAGCTGTCCCTTTTCACTCAAGGTTTGTGACGGACACATCTGGAGGCAGGAAGTGCTTTCCCAGTTTCCCCGGGACACCGCGCAGACACCTGGCAGTCGATGTGCGGGTAGAGAATGAAAACACCCAAGATAAACAAAACCCAAGAGTGAATCCCACATCAATTAGGCAGCTTTAGCCCTTAACCAGCATAATCCTTTAGTCCCTTGGGGTGGAGTGCCTAGACTTCAGCTCTGGATTTCAAGCAAGCAGGGATGGGAAAGCTGGTTTGAGACGGCTGGAATGAAAAACTCCTTGCTAATGAGCACAAATAAAAGAGCGGGAATCTGAAAACATTGGTTGTGTTTGCATTCCTGAGTAAGCTATGGCTCTTCAAGACTGTAGCTTTGCAGGGAGTGAGTTAAGTAAGCCGACACATATCTCCCAAGCTATAAACATCTGGCGCCTGCAGCTGGTGGGGGAAGCTAGGATAGAACCAAGTCAAGCCAATGATTTGGAGGGCAGCTAATAAACCTAGATGGCTTGGTCACAAGCCAGTGTAGGAAGAAATAGCAATAGCCCTTAGACTTTTATACCGCTTCATAGTCCCTTTACAACTCTCTCGAAGCAGTTTACAGAGTCAGCCTATTGCCCTCGACAATCTGGGTCCTCATTTTATCCACCTCAGAAGGACGGAAGGCCGAGTCCACCTTGAACCGGTCAGGATCGAACTCCTGGCAGAGGGGCAGAGTTAGCCTGCAATGCTGCATTCCAGCCACTGTGCACCATGGATGGATGGATGGATGGATGGATGGATGGATGGATGGATGGATGGATGGAAGGAAGGAAGGAAGGAAGGAANAGAGATGCTTTAATGCATTAGTGCAGAGAAGAGCAACAAAGATGATCAGGGAACTGGAGGCTAAAACCTATGAAGAATGGTTGCAGGAACTGGGTATGTCTAGTTTAAGGAAAACATAGAATATAGAACAATATATTTGGAGGTCTCCTAGTCCAATTCCTTGCTCCAGCAGGAGACCGTATACCATATACCATCAGATGAATGGTTATCCAGTCTCTTTTTGAAAACCTCCATTGGTGGAGCACCTACAACCTTGGGAGGCAAACTATTGAAGAATGACTTTTTAAAAAGGATTAGGATTGACACAATAGCAGTGTTCCAATATCTAAGGGAAGCCCAGAAAAAAGAGGGAGATGTCAACCTATTCTCCAAAGCACCTGAGGGCAGGACAAGAAGCAATGGGTGGAAATTAATAAAGCAGAGAAGCAACCTAGAACTAAGGAGAAATTTCCTGACAGTTAGAACAATTAATCAGTGGAACAACTTGCCTCCAGAAGTTGTGAATGCTCCAACACCGGAAGTCTTTAAGAAGATGTTGGATAACCCTTTGTCTGAAGTGGTGTAGGGTTTCCTGCCTGAGCAAGGGAGTTGGACTAGAAGACCTCCAAGGTCCCTTCCGCCTCTGTTATTCTGCTATGTATATCATTCTCAGGCTCTATTTGACTATGATTGCAAATGCTGAGCCACAGCCGAAGGACACACCTTCATATGACAAAACCTGGAGTAAGTCTCTCTCTTCTAGACAGCCCATTGATCAACATCAGCCGGGCCATTTGCAAGGCAATAATCCAAACAGATTAAAAACAAAACGCCAAAGGAGGACTGAAAAAGGGGTGGGGGGGAAGACCCCCTAAATGCAGACTCCCAGCGTCTCTCCCCCCACTCACCCCCCCCCCCCATCGGTGGTTGACAAAGCAAAGGGCTGCTACTGTACCCCTTCGGGCTTATTTTGACTAAAGCTGAAGAATGCAAAGTATAAATAACAGGGAACTTCTACTATGACACTGTTACAACATGCAACAGAAGAGAAGGGGGCTGGAGCCCATTTTCAGAGAAATCTCTCAACAGCGTAAAACTATTTGTTTAGCTTTTTTGCAAACACACGTAACAGGATGCCCAGCCCGATTTCTCTGGGATACTCTAGGCCAGGGCCTCCAAGCTATTTTCAATTCAGAACAGAGCTAGAAGGGACCTTGGAGGTCTTCTAGTCCAGCCCCCTGCTCCAGCAGGAAAACCCATACCATTTCAGACAAGGGGCTGTCCAATCTCTTCTTAAAAGCCTCCAGTGATGGAGCATCCACACCTTCTGGAGGCCAGCTGTTCCACTGGTTCATTGTCCTCACTGTTAGGAAATCTCTCCTCAATTGCAGGTTGCTTCTCTCCTTGATTAGTTTCCATCCATTGTTTCTTGTCTTGTTTTCTGGAGAATAATTTGAGTCCTCTTCTTTGGTGCAGCCCCTGAAATACTAGATTGCCTCAAATACTCTCATGTCACCCCTACTTCTTCTATTCTCTGCATTGGCCTCGCCCAATTCCTGCAACGGTTCTTCATATGTTTTAGTTTCTAGGCCTTTAATCATCCTAGTTGCTCTTCTCTGCATTTTTTCCACAGCATCTTTTTTTTGGAGACCATAAACTGGATGCAGCATTCCAGGTATGGTCTTACTAAGGCAGGAGAGGGAGAAGGGGAGGGAGAGGGAGAGGAATGGGGAAAGGAATGAGGAAATAAAGTAAATGAGAAGGGAAGGAAATAGATGGGGAAGGGAGGGAAAGAGAAGGAAAGAGAAGAAAGGAAGGAAATGAGAAGGGAAGGAAGTAAATGAGAAGGGAAGGGAAGTAAATAGATGGGGAAGGGAAGGGAAGAAAGGAAGTAAATGAGAAGGGAAGGGAAATAAATCAATGGGGAAAAGAAGGAAAGGAAGTAAATTTGAAGGGAAGGGAAGTAAAAAGATGGGGAAAGGAAGGAAATGAGAAGAGAAGGGAAGTAAAGAGATGGGAAAAGGAAGGAAAGAAAGTAAATGAGAAAGGAAGGGAAGTAAATAGATGGGGAAGGGAAGGAAAGGAAGGAAATGGGAAGGGAAGTAAATAGATGGGGAAGGGAGGGAAAGGAAGGAAATGAGAAGGGAAGGGAAGTAAATAGATGGGGAAAGGAAGAAAAGAAAGTAAATGAGAAAGGAAGGGAAGTAAATAAATGGGTAAGGGGAGGAAAGGAAGTAAATTAGTGGGGAAGGGAAGGAAGTAAATAGGAAGGGAAGGGAAGAAAGGAAGTAAATGAGAAGGGAGGGAAGCCCCATTCCTGCTTCATGCATTTAACCCAGCCAGGCTAGATGGATACTAAGGGTATTGTCCTCCATAATAGCAAAGATATCACCGCATTGGAAGGAAGACTATTCACTAACACAAACTGTTGCTGCCCTCTCGTGGTCCACCAAAGTGCAACAAGCCTCACACACTCAAGAGTGCCAAGTGATACAACATCACAGGCTTTGGAGAAAGACCTGCCTCAAAGGATAATTCTAGTTAGCAGCCAAATATTAGATGAGNTCCCACCAAAGGTGGTTCCTGTTTTTCTACTTGCATTTTTACATGCTTTCGAACTGCTAGGTTGGCAGAAGCTGGGACAAGTAACGGGAGCTCACTCTGTTACACAGCACTAGGGATTCAAACCGCCAACCTTTCTGATCGACAGGCTCAGCGTCTTAGCCACTGAGCCACCCTCATATAAGATCCTTAGGGATCCTTTTTAATCATAAAAAAAAATATTTTCTCCCCCAAAATGAAGGGAACGCTTCCTGGTCCCCTCAGCCGCCATTTTGTCAACAACCAAATCCTACTCACATTGTCGTAATCCATGAGTTCGGTAGAGAGGCCAAACAACCGTTGAGCCAATAACTTCCCTGAGGCGATTGCGGTGGGCGTTAGTTCAGGGCGGCCCTTTGAAGGAATGAGAACATTAGAAGAAGATATTTTTACAAGGTTTCTTTAAAGAAATCGACGTCTCAAGGTTTCACCAACCATTTGGGTTAACTATTTCTCATTTTAGGACTTCCTTTTCTAAATTCATTTCCCATGGTCTATTCTTTAAAAAAAATTAAAAATTCTAGGTAATAGATCCTAGGTAGAGGCAGATATTTCTCTCTCTGGGCACTCAGAATATATCTGCGGAACAAAACTCCGTATCGGTGACAAGTAGGACACTCTGCTATTCCAGTCAGTTGCCCAGACACTATCCTGCAAGGAATTATGATGATGATGATGATAATCTGCAGGTAGTCTTGGGACTGGTGTGGTGGCCTAGAGGTGGAGTTCTCGCCTCACAATGGGGAGGCTGTGAGTTCGATCCTAGGTAGAGGCAGATATTTCTCTCTCTGGGCACAATGAGAATGTATCTGCCGAACAAAACTCCGCCCTGGTGACAAGAAGGGCATCTGGCCATTAAAACACTCTGCTAGCTCCATTCAGTTGCCCAGACTCCACCCCGCAAGGGATTACAGGGTCGCTAAAAGAAAATGATGACATAAGCCTAAATGCTGAGTGGTGCGGTGGCCTAGGGGTGGAGCACTCGCCTCACATTCAGGAGGCTGTGAGTTCGATCCTAGGTAGATATTTCTCTCTTTGGGTACAATGAGAATATATATATATATCTGCTGAACAAGACTCTGCCCTGGCGACAGGAAAGGCATCTGGCCATTAAAAAACATTCTGCTAGCTCTATTGAGTTGCCCAAGACTCCACCCCGCAAGGGATTATGGGGTCATTAAAAGAAGGAAAGGCAAAAAGGATGCCCCTCGGTCTGACAATGGCCTTAGGCAAATATTGCAATATGGATTCACGCCAATCCACATTGTATGTCAGTGACAATCTGATACACCTTGTTATGATCTCTCAAACATCGTTCCTGTCGGTAGAATAAATAGGTTTTAACAGAAGAGAGGATGAATGGGAAGATTAAAAGAGAAAGAACTCTTTTAATCAGAAGAGAAGGGATGAACTGTGGGGCTTTTGGTGCTCTCTCTCCACAGAAAATTCCCTGGGACATTCAAAGCGTTTATACCTCAGTGATGTCCCCAATTGCAAAAATATGGGGGATCGAAGTGGCTTCAGCTGGATCTACAAGGATTTTCCCCGTTTCCGGATTGGTTTTCACACCCACGCGCTCCAGTTTAAGGGCTGCAGTGTCCGGAGCTCGGCCTTTAGGGAAGGGGAAGCAAAAAGGAGAGGAAAGGAAAAGAGGAAGGGGGCAGGAGAGGAGGAGGGAAAGAGGAGGAGCAGGAGTTAAAGGAGAAGGAAGAGGAGCAAAGGGAGGAGGAGAAGCAGGAGGAGGAGAATGTGGAGAAGGAAGAGGAGAAAGAGGAAAAAAAGGAGTAGAAGGAAAAGCAGGAAGAGGAGTAGTAGAAAGAGAAAGCAGAGGGGGGGAAAGAGGAGGAGTTAAAGGAGGAGTAGAAGGTGAAGCAGGATGAGGAGGAGAAGGAGGAGGTGGTAGAAGAGGAGGAGGAGTTAAAGGAGAAGGAGTAGTAGAAGGGGCAGCAGGAAGAAGAGGAGGATAGAAAGGAGGAGGAGAGGAAAATAATGTGGAGAAAGAAGAGGAGATAGAGGAAAAAGAATAGAAGGAAAATCAGGAGAAGGAAGAGGAGAAGTAGGAGGAGGAAGTGGTGGTGGAAGAGGAGGAAGTGGTGGTGGAAGAGGAGGACAAGTAGGAAAGAGAGAGAGACAGAATTATGGTTAAATCCCAACTATCCGATCCGGTCACAGTTTGCAAGTCTGCACATTTTACACACTTACTTATTACAACAAAACCACAACGAGAAACATAATGACTGACAAAGTAATGGCAACCCCACCACTACCAATGGCTCTGCAGATTGTTATGTCTAATTTTACAATAATATCACCCTTTAATATGTTTATTTATTCAAGACATTCATACCGCTGCCCGAGTCCATTGTGACTTTGGGCAGCATTGAAAATCCATTAATCAAAACCCCCAAAGAAAAACAGCACACCCCATTAAAACTAACACAATTAAACAGAGATTGATTCATCCATTAAAATCGATTGCATCCCATCAATCTGGAACTCAACTTAACTTGACCTATGGACCAGCAAAGTCAAGGCTAACTGAGAACATGATGTATACCACCCTGGGTTGTAGATTATTGGCAGGCTGTAAATCTCACAACAATAATATTAGTTGTATATTTGTGTGTGGATGGGAGAGGCAATCCCATAGAATGCCACTGCCAGTTATTTGTGGAACAACCTAATCAAGAGATTGATTGATTGAATTCTCTTAGCCAGGATTGTCTTGCTCCAATATTATAATTGCTTTAAAAAAAATAAAATTCAACGCTTAAATTACAGTGACTATATTTTTTTTGGGGGGGGGGGATAATCACTCTTTTCAGTGTCATTGTAAGTTCAAACAGTCATTAAACAAACGGTTATAAATCAAGAACTACCGTTGTATGCTATCTGAAGTCACGTATGGGGGGATCAGTGGTCGTATAATTATACTGAAATAAATAAAATTTCAGTTGCAAAGCAAAGTTGCAATCATGAACAATGATTATTGTTATTTTACCCTTGTGAATTGCTTTCGCATTAACCCCATTTTCAGGTTTGCAAAATTTCTTAAGTTTGAGCTCTTCCCTGCGTCAACCCTGAAGCAAACATGGCTGAGGCTATTTTGAAGGCTTCAGGGTTGCCACAGTGCAAAAAAGGGAGAGGGACCATAGTTAGATGGGGGTTTGTAGCCAAAACAAAATTGTTTCCTGTGGGAACCAAGGACATTCCATCTGGTGGGTGGAGAAAGGAGGAGCACATTGTTGTTGTTGTTTTTTAAATTGTGCCAATATGATATCTCCAATAAAATTGGTTTTTTTTTTAAAGTATTATTATTATTCTTATTGATTTTCTATTAAATACATTTCTTAGTGTTGTCGGAGTATTTAATTTGCTTAACAATACAAATTACAAATTAATCTTCACCCCCTTTTTTCCAACCATTGGCAAAATAAATTCCATGTTTGATAATATTCTACATCAGGGGTGTCAAACTCAATTGCATTGAGAGCCGCATCAGAGTTGTGTTTGATGTCTGGGGGGGGGGGCGTGGCCAGGGGGTCATGGCTAACTCAGTGTTATTTGTATCGAGAGCGCTTGTGGTGGCCACAGTGCTCTGGGCTCCCCAGCTCCGTTTTTGGCTGCGACAGCCTCCTGCAACCCTCTGCCAGTGAAAACGGAGTTCGGCCGAGCCGCATGCAGCCCTCTTGAGCTCTGCTTTTGCTGGCAAAGGCACCACAGGCCAGTCATTCACTATTTCCAGGGTGGCCCCGCAGGCCAGATCTAAGCACCCCATAGGGCAGATCCAGCCCATGGGCCTTGAGTTTGACACCCCTGTTCTACGTCCTTTTTCTGCTTAATTTTCAAATCTCCATCTATTCCTTTTTTGCACAATTACGTATCTTCTTAACCATTTCTTCATCTCGTGGCACATCTTCATCTTTCCAGTATTGTACAAATAAAATTGTTCTTCCGAAGGAACTTATCTGCCTCAGAATTCTTCTTTCTATGGCGGTGTTACGTGGAACCCTGACCCCCTGCACATAAGGAGTGACTAGCCTGTGTTGGGAAAAAAAACCAGTAATAAGGGATATAGAACCATATATAGAATAGCAGAGTTGGAAGGGGCCTTGGAGGTCCTCTAGTCCAACCCCCTGCCTAGGCAGGAAACCCTATACCGTTTCAGACAAATGGTGATCCATCATCTTTTTAAAAACTTCCAATGTTGGAGCATCCACAACTTCTGGAGGCTAACTGTCCCACTGGTTAATTGTTCTCACTGTCAGGAAATTTCTCCTCCGTTCTAAGTTGCTTCTCTCCTTGATAAATTTCCATCCATTGATTCTTGTTCTGCCCTCAGGTGCTTTGGAGAATAGCTTGACTCCCTCTTCTTTGGGGCAATCCCTGAGATATTGGAACACTGCTATGTCACCCCTGGTCCTTCTTTTCATTAAACTAGACATACTCAGTTCCTGCAACCGTTCTTCGTATGTTTTAGCCTCCAGTTCCCTAATCTTCTTTGTTACTCTTCTCTGCATTCTTTCTAGTCTCCACATCCTTTTTACATCATGGCGACCAAAA